TGTTTGAATTTCCTCACATGGAATGTATGGATCCAGAGATTTTACATCCAAAAATGTTAGCGGTGTTTCTCCAACATATAAAATGCATTTCGAAATATCCTCATCAATAAGCTTGGGAGTAAAAGTACTTTTATTAATTGTGCACGCTAAATTAATGCCTAATAAATCTTCTTTAACGGTTTTTTTATTATTCTGAATATTCAGGTAAGTTGAAATTTTACGCTTTGCACTTTTTGAAGCAGTTGTACGAAACAAAGTCTGACGGGCTAATTTTAAATTTGGGGGAACACTGACAAATGGCATTTTGTCAGGAAATTCTTTCAGATAGTTCGACTCTATTACACCTTTACAATTAGAAACAATTTCTTTCAAATTTTTTGTTATAGTAGGCAACAATATTTTTTTAACTGTTGGATTAGGCAGCATAACCTGTAATTCAGATATTAAAGTCTTACAATTATCAATTTTATGTTCTAAGTTACATGCTACTGCATTCGAAATAACAGACTTTGTACCTGTTTGTATGGCTGATGAACAGCTTTCGCTTTTATAAGTATCTGTTACGAAGAAGGATGGATCTCTTTGTCTGACTGAATGTACTTTATGAATGTGTTTACATAATGGACTGAAATCTGGACAATTACAATTATATAAATGACTACACAAATTAAGGCAAGATAAGCTAATACATTTAGAGTAACAGTGATCAGTTTGAGGACATAACTCATATAAGCATTTAACTGTATACTGAATATTAGAAGTCTGTGATTTTACAATCCACAACAAAAAACCAGCCCCTGTTACATCACTATCTAAAATTTTTATTCCCGAATCATGTCGCTTATTATATGTTGGTGGACAAGTACTCTGCTTGTAATTGCTTGTAATTAGTTTTATTATTTTATAGCTGTGAGCCATGTATGTATCTTTATTCTCTTCAATTTTTAAAAAGTACTTTTTATTAATTTATCAAATTAATTTATTCTAAACGCCTAATGTTAAATTTTCGTCTATTAAATATGTAGTTTTTTACTCATGTATAAAGAATTCTAAATTCACAATAATTCATATAATGGTATCTGTGAACGCATCATGAGGGAAGTTTCTGTATGGGCCATGGACCAATGAGAATATGCACACTGGCATATAGTAATGTTCTTCAAAAATATGCAAAATATAAAGATGGTGCATATAGTAATCTTCAAACTTTGATCAGGTAAATTATGAAAAGATTATCAAATCATCATCGAATGCATCAATTCTGATGAATAAAAATAAGTCGACAAATCTTATCATTCAATCAGTATACAATCCACATATTAAATAGATTTCTTTTTTAAAATTACAAGTACTCTGCTTGTAATTAGTTTTAATTTTATAGCTGTGAGCCATGTATGTATCCTCTTCAATTTTTAAAAGTACTTCAATTAATTTATCTAAACGCCTGTTAAATTTTCGTCTAAAATATGTAGTTTTTAATTTATTATGAAACGATTCACAATACATATTGGTATCTGTGAACGCATGAGGGAAGTTTCTATGGGCCATTGACCAAAGAATAGCACGGCTATAGTAATGTTCTTCAAAATATTGTATAAAAGATGGTGCAATAGTTCGAAACTTCTGAAGGAAATTATCCATCATCACTATGAATCGAGCAGAATTGGTTTCTTCAAGTAATACTACCATATTAAAATAGATTTCATCTTTAAGTTTTTGATTAGAAACCATTCGGCACAAATTACGTTGCCAAGCACGATGCACATGCCATTTACATAACAAATGTGTAATACCAGGACCAAATACTTTATCAAATGCAGGATGGGTAGTCTTATCATCATCTGTCATAAGACAATTGACATAAAGTTCCGGTATTACACATTTGATACTAAGGAATAAATTATACATTGTATCCTGGTCTAACTGATTTGTAATGAAATGCGCTACAGGATAACCACTACCAAACTCATCAGGAACGATTAAATTTAATAAATAAAAATCATATTGATTTGTTTTGTGAGTAGAATCAATACATAAAATCCTGGAGCAACCTTTAATCATCATATCTTTCTGCTGTTTAGTCTGCAATCCTAATGCAAAAGACTCATTTGTAGAAGAAAGTTCATCAAGCCCTTTTGGACCGTACAATGTTGGCTTTCCTTGTGGTTTATAAATAAGTACTGGATCATATGATTCTTGCCTGAGTTTTTCAACTATTGTGGCAACTGAAAGTGAATCATCACCAGGAAAGGAACATACTAACCGCTTTTTGTAAGTGTTTATCACTCTTCGTGTTACAAATACATCTTTATCATATATGCCCTCCCTATTATCCCGCAGTCCACTTCCATCTCTGATAAATTCTTGAATTTGATCCGTGGATACACCTAACTGTGCATAAGCTTTAATTTTGTTACGGCAACTCTGACTAAGTTGGTGGAACCTGCTATTTTCAAAAGACAATTCATGATTATGATTCGAATAAAATATGGCTGTGACAAGGTGCGATTCTTCACAAACTAAAATTTTTGACGGACACTTAAAGTTGGAAGGTAAAGTATCTTTTAGATTTTTTCTACTGGAAACAGGAACTTTCTTTTTATGCATTACATTAAATTGACAACAGTAATAATGAAAAGTTTTATCATTCCTACATCTACTTCCAGCAGACTTTTTATAAGAACTGAATGTCTGCTTACTATGCGATTCTAACCAGAATTGAAATTCTCCTATTGATGAAAATGTAAGTTCTTGCATAGCCATCTCATAATCATGATATTCAGCCAAATGTTTATTACATTCATTATCAGAACAAAATATTTCCTTACAATCAGGAATAACACATGGCTTAGAATTATTAGATGTAGGATTTTTAATACTACAGATCTTTTTATGATGAAAAAGGTTACTGCGGCTTTTACAATCTCTCTCACACCGGTCACAAATATATGCCTTTGGAATACATTCAGCTGATGGTGCTTTGCAACATTTTTTATGATTGGAAAATGATTGTCTAGTGGAGTACGACTTCATGCAAACTTCACACACTCTGGGATATTTCATTTCTACAATACCTTTACAGTTACGTTTATGATTAGATAAGGACTGTTTAGAAGAAAAAGGTTTCTTACATTTAGGGCAAATCTTAGATTTTCCATTAGAAGCACAATTTTCTTTATCATAATTACTCACGAGTTCAATTTTATTGTTATTTTCAGATTTATTTGGACTCTTAGCACCCCCAAACTTAAAGTTTGAACATTCATTATCATCTTCAAAAAGTGAAATCGATGATGAAATGGTTGAAAAAACAGCCGAGAGATCGAAGATCAACAACTGTAAGATCTGATGAGATGAAAGAAGCCGAGTCTGAAACAGGAGAACTAGAATAGGTGAGAACCTGAAAAGCAGAAGATTCAGAATTGAGCACAGAAGCAACAGAAAACTGAGGAACAGATGCAATGGCATCAACATTATTTGGACCAATGTTAACAGCACTTTCAAGAAATGGAAAATCTGATAAAGCAGATGAAATGGAATTAATTGCAAGCTCAGAAGCAACTGTAACAGGATACAAAGAACCAGAAAGCTGAGAAACAGATACACTTGGATCAGCAGAAAAATGAGAAACAGATGGAGTACTGGAATTCTGAGAAACTGGTGCAGTGATGTCAAGAATACTCGAAACAGTGTCGGCTATAGGCTCAAGAACTGGAAAATCCGATAACAAGAAACCACTGGGATGATTATCCAAAGACGTGTTGGTAGAACCATATTTTAAAACATCTGAATAAAGAGGTTTAGAAAGAACATCAGGAGAATCCAACAATACTGAAATACTGGGATGGTTATCCAAATCAGTCAAAACACCTGGTAATGCTAAAGCATTAGGACGACTATCCAATGTAGTGCAGACATGCGAAACCCGTTTCAAAACACTTGAATAAAGTGGTTTCGAAGGAACACTTGAAGGAGCACACAAAACTGAAACACTAGAATCTGATAAGCCTAAAGTATCAGGATGACTATCCAAAGTGCTGCAAACAGAAGAAACCCGTTTCAAAACACTTGAATAAAGAGGTTTAGAGTGAGTACTTGAAGTATCTGAAATGACAGAAGCACGAGGATAATTATCCAAAATCGTGATAGGTACAGAAGGATGTTTTCCTGAAACAGTGGATAAAGCTGGAAACTCAATAGCAGATACAGAGGAAAAAGATGTAGCACTTACCTTTGGAAGGGATTTCACACTCAAAACGCTCTTTATGTCCTTCACAAAAATTCTCCCAAGCTGTGCATTACCCTTACGGTTCAGATGCAATCCGTCTCTTGACAGACAAGTACTCCAATAGTACTCACCAGATCTGCAAAAAGAAAAAGCTTCTCGGCCTTTGAATGCTTCGAAAAGATTAGTGTTTATCCGAGCTAATTTTCTGTTCAGCTTCTTTAAACTGTACGGGTTGAAACCATTCTCGAATAAATTTCGTTCACGCGGGAGGACACCTGAAAAGAGAATGATCTTCGGGTTTAAACGCTCAATAACCTTATACAGACAATCATATTTATGATGAATATCATCCAAAGTGTCACAAGAGTTATTGGTACCAACGTGAACCAAAACTAACTCTCAAATTGATTGTCTATCAAGGTTATCTTGCGTGTCAACCTTTCAATCGTAGCACCCGGAAAACAATGAAAATGAACTTCATAATCCAGTAAATTCAGCAATAAATATTCTTTAAATATTTTATCATCGAATCTCCGATTATAAGTATTTTCATTTTTCCTGTTTGCTTAGACAAAGACATAATAAAAATAATACAAATAACAAAATCAAATTAAGAATTAGCACGTGCAGAAAAAACACTCACCGACGAAAATGGCGGAATACGATTTCTATTTTTACTAGATTTACGTATTTGGCGCCAGGTCCAGTTTGGCGTGAAAAAGATAACCCTCCAACCAATCACAGCAAAGTACACTTTTCCGTAAACATTTGGCGTTTGGCTGTACATAATTGTTCAAACTCCTGGTTCAGTTTGGGCAGTTATGTTGATGTTTTGATTGTCAGTATACGAAATGTGAATGAAATTATGGCTTTTCTAACAAAAGTATTTAAATTTACAGACAGTATATGTTTGTCAAAGAACTGGTATCCAATTAGTTTTTGTTTAATAATTATGACAAGAATTGTTAATATTTTGCCATATTTTATCGGAGAATTTCATATTTATATTATTTTCATGCTTTCCGCTAAGAATTAATATACGTAAAAATTGCAGCTCTTCTTATAAACATTGTGTTTGTTAATTAATCATTAATAACAAAACTTACTAACTGTATGTATTATAAATCTGTCGTGACTCGTAAAATATGTTCCAATTGAGCAACTGTTTGTTAAAAATATGTTTCTTTTTACCAATATTATAATGCATATTTTTATAATTGTTTCAAAATAAAAAAGCAGTGTTAATATTATAGTTCTTTTACTGTTTAAATGTTTTTGAAAAACTCAAGACTTATTTAAAATTACATTGAACTGCTATTAGTGAATATTATTCATTCACGTAGGTTTACTAGTACAATCGAATGTGTGTGAAGTTTTAACCACATTCAGCATTTCATTTTTTAGACATAAAAATTAGATGAGAAATATTTTTTAAACACATTGCCAGGAAAGTTTGAGATTTGAAAAAAAAATTCAAATTTGAGATGACCATTTTAAGAAATTCCATTTATGAGTATTTACTTATTAAAGCGGACATCGATTAAGTCTTTACTGACGTTTGAAATCTGCATATTATAAATTAAGTAATTAAATTTGTTTTTTTTTTTTAGTTGCATAGTGGGCACTGTAATAATACTATTAAGAAAAATTAACATTTTGTGATTTCTATTTTTTGCAGATAAGATGGTATTGAGCTAATAGTTGCTATATAGATGCATAATAGCTTTAGAAAAGTAAAAATGCAATTTACATTTTTACTACAATTTCAGAAAAAAGTTTATTTTAACAACTTTAAGTTTTTTTTTTAATTTGGTAGATCAACATGATTAAACATTTAACCCAAGTGAAATTATGTTATGTTTAATGTTATATTCAATTGCACTATATAATTTATGAAATATTTATTCAAAAATTATTATAAGAATATTGGTGTCATATTTTTATCACTAGCTTTTCTTTTTTTAGGAGCTTGAGTAATAAGAATAACTGGCTTATTGGATGTGCATACTTTACTAGCAAAGTCGATATTCCCTCTCCACCAAAGAGACCTCTTAGTGCTTACATGTTATTTTGTCAAGAACATAGGCAAAATGTGATTAAAGAAAATCCAAGTAAATACTTTTTTTTTTTTTTTTTTTTTACATTTTTATTTTGCATGAAAAATTATGGTTGCTAGAACACACCTTTTCCGTAGCATTGATTGTAATGAAAAATTCATCAGTTATTATTTCCGAGAGACAAAGACAAGCAGATGTTCCCTTAGAGAGTAATTAAACCTTTATGTGAATTTTTTTAAAAATGTAGATTTTATTTTATCAGAAGCATTTTCAGTGATTCAACACCATTGCCTTCAGCTGTGATAAATGTTTGTGAAATTTTAGTAGCCAATCATGATGCCCTCTGTAGTGAAGGAGGAGAGCAAATTAACAAAAATGAAACAAATCAAGTAATGCCATCTAGGAATGAAAAATGAAATCAGAAATGATCTGTTTATTAATAGGTGGGAAACACAGATTAGAATTTGAGTCGTTGATTAATGTAGAAATATTGTTATTGAAGGTCCCAAGGAACAAAAATAAATTTTAGTTATTTAAATTGTTAATTATTCTGGTCTGTGCGCACTCACTTTGACCTTAAGATCCATTATATTTATTGTACTACACTGAAGCTACAAACTACATAGAATCAGTATTTTTCAAAAAGGGAATTTTCAGTTATGTACAGATGAATAGTAAACATCATCATGTAAGTAATGAGAGACAAAAAGTAATCCATCGAGTTTTGACTCATTCGTAACAACCATTCTTGTTAATGATGGGTGATGTGAAAGATAACAAACTTTAATAAATTAAGACACAAATAATGTTGAAATCTTTGCTACTATGAGCCTTGAGTTTGCTGACTTCTTGAACTCAGAAGAACCATTAAATATTTGGAACTACTCTGATATGCGCAGTCGCCAAATTTCGCACCAAGTATTTTTGGCGAGAAACTTCATGCTGCCATATTACTATCTAAATCTTTTGTCTACATTTCAAACTTTTAGCCTAAAATATCTCCAAAAACGCGGTTTTCGCACATGTAAAAACTACGTTTTCAACATACAATTTAGCTAAAAATCCGAAACAAAAAATTTAGATAGCAAAAACGTAAAGTTTCTAACCAAAAAATATTTGACAAGAATCCATGTACACAACGACATGTTTTAACTTAACATCTACGAATGGCACAATGTAAGCAACGAACAAATCTACAAACTACGCACACCTCGCTTTAATAAATTAACATAACAACAATAAATTTCAAATAATACCATGTACACAGCATCCTGTTTAAACTTTAAAAAAATTCTACAAATTGCACAATTTAGGCAAAGAAGGAATCTACGATCTACGCACTCCTCGCTTTAATAAAATAACATAACAACAATAAATTTCAAATAATACCATGTACACAGCGTTCTGTTTCAACTTTAAAAAACATCTACGAATTGCACAGTCTAGACACTAAACAGCAAAATAAAATAAATTTCAAACAATTTAAAAAAAACAACAATAACGACAGAAATTCATACTAAAGAACCAATGAACATAACATTCTACAAAATAAGAACAAGGATAAAATAAAATGCACTTACCATGAATTAATTCGTTTTCGAATAGCAGAAATATAAATTTCATGCTGCCTTTATTATGCCACCACGTAATCACTATCATATTTACATGACAGACAGACACACTATCCAGAAAATTTATAGTATGGTTCACAAATAAATAAAATCACAAATCCCTACTTCTATCATGCACTGCCATTAAAAATAATCTCCCAGACCCTCTTTCCACACTTCCAAATACCCACTACTGCCCTCAACAGGATAGGCCACAATGATATTTCCTTTTGCCGAACTTCAATTCAACAACTTCCACCATTTTATCTTTCCCTCCCCTATCTTCTCAGACACAGAGCATGATGTGAACAACGAGCTCCAGAAACATTTTTCAACGTCAACAGGGTTGCCATAGAACACGCAATCGTGCTAAAAACCAGCGCAGAACACATATCGCCACATTTGGTGAAATTAGGGCGTATATTAGAGTTGTACCAAATATTTTATTCTATTCTCGTATTTTTGAAATTGGGTAAGAGCTATTCTTAAATTGCTGAAAAAAATTACGATTTCTAAGATAATATAAGAAATCAGTATTTGTAGCAGATTTCTCTAGACACGTCTCACATTCTGCAGGTTAAAAACTTCTTGAGAAGAAAAGCTTATTAAAATCAATAGACTAGTTAAATTAAAAATGTAGGGGAATCAAAATAAGCAATTTCCAAGTTTTACTATCTGTAGGGAATTTATTAAGAAAATCTGGATATGTTTTTGGTTTTGTGAAGTTACCTGCTTTATATTGCATATACAATGAAATCTTTGATCACGAACAAATTTTCCAAATGAAAAATGTCTTGAATGATGGACAGTATCTCAAGATGTTTTAAAGTAAGCTAACAACAAATAATATTCCAAAATGCAATTGATGTAGTGGAGGAAATGTCTTCATAAAAAGAAGACAGAAAGGAGAATGTTTTTTAATTATTTGATCTACAAATTATGTGCAATGGGGTAAAAGGCAAAGGTTAATGAAGCATTATTACCCTGATAAAAGCAACAGTAAGCCATAGCATAAATATGTGTTATAATTTGACAGTGCCATGCCTTTCTTTAGGAATATTTTAAATAAAGATGGGGACAAATCACAGTGCACAAATTTTATTTTGATAAAGATCTAGCGATTCTCAATTAGAGGTGAGCTATTTTAAGAGGAAGAAGATGGGAAACAGATAGACAGCAGCTACCTGATATTTTTACAAATAGGATTTCCCTTCCAAACAATAACATTCTGCACCTTTGCTTTCTTCATAATTTTCTACGTATGCTGTCAATTTTTCTTGGTAAAGATATGATATTACCGTAATTTCCGGAAGAAACGCCGCTGCGTTTACGTATTTAAAACTTAAATTTTAAGCGGTTGTGGTGTTTCTACCTATACGGCGTTTAGGTGCACTAAAAATAAAATATTTCCTATGATGATCATTGTACATAGTTTGAATAACTTTGTCATTGTACATAGTTTGGATGGCCTTGTCATTGTACATAGACTGGTGCTGTTCTCACAAAAAAGACCATTCAGTTGCTTTTTGTAAATGTTATTTTGTTTACATTCTTTCCCTTGAATGGACCTACATGCCTTATTCACCTTAAACAGGATCTCAGAACAATAACATTCTTCCCCCTTTCAAATCAGCATTCTCATCATTTTGAATAGTCTCTCTCCTCTGCCATTCGATGAATCTTCCAGGACCCATCCTCTCCCCACCCCAGCCTTTTCTGCAATTTTTTTCAAAAGCGGACACGACTCCACCTGCCTCGCAATAACGAACTCTGAGGTATTTCCCCTTCAGCATGAATCAATTTTTCTTGGCATTCTGCCAGATACAGATTTACAGATCTCATCAGTTTGGGTACAAATATTTGTTGGATAGTTTTTAAGTAAGAAGAGAGTGGGAAATTTTTGAAAATGCCACCTAAACGGCACAGAAGTTATACTGCTGGTTTTAAGCTTAATGTAATTTCACGTGCTGAACAAATTGGGAATAGAGCAGCAACTCGAGAGTTTGAAGTGGACAAGAGATGTATTCGATGTTGGAGAACTGAAAAAGGACTTAAAAATATGCCACAACAGAAACGAGCCAAAAGAAGTGGTACTATAAGATGGCCGAATCTAGAGGACGACCTTGCAAACTGGATAAAGAAGCAACAAGGAAAGGGAATGGCAATTTCGACTGTAAAAATTCGCTTACAAGCAAAATTTATAGCAAAACAAATGAACATAAATGATTTCAAAGGAGGGCCTTGCTGGTGTAGCAGGTTTATGAAAAGAAAAAATATTTCTGTGTGTTCTAGAACAACAGTGGGGCAACAATTACCAATGGACTGGCAGGATAAAAAGGCATCTTTTCTAAAATATGTGACAGATATTATTGACAAAAAAAACTTCTTTGGTCACAGATAATAAATATGGATGAAATGCTGTTAGCTTTCGACTCTCCTGCAAACAGAACTGTTGATGAAACTGGTGCAAAAACTGTATCTGTGCTTACGACGGGGCATTAAAGAACGTCATTTGTGTGTTAGCTTGTGTAGCAAACGGTGACAAGCTAAAGCCGATGATCATTTTTAAACGAAAAACTATTCCGAAGGGAGATTTTTCTAATGACGTAATTATTTGTGCAAATGAGAACAGCTGGATGTGCGAAACAATCATGCAAGAGTGGCTACAAAAAAGTTTGGCAGTGTCGTAAGGGATCTTTTTTCCAACCAAAAGGGTTATTGATAATGGATTCCATACGTGCTGATTTACTTGAGTCGGAGAAAACCAGATGTCAGAAACTGTCTACGACCATAGCAATAATTCTTGGTGGTTTGACAAAAATCTTACAACCAATTAGATTTGCCAGGTAATAAATCCATCAAAGCTGAAGTCCGTAAGCTGTGGGAATGTTGGATGAGTGAAGGATTGCATACGTATACCAAAAGCAAAAAAATGCGTAGAGCATCTTGTGAAGAAGTTGCAAAGTGGGTAGGAAGTGTGTGGAAATCAGTAAAAACATCGTCAATAATAGCAGGGTTCAAAGAACCTGAAATTATATCCTTAGATAAAGAGACTGTAAACCAAGAGGATGAATGTAACGATCTGGACTTAGATCAGGATTTACTTAATCTTTTTAATTCAGATAGTGAAGAATCAGATTTTGATGGCTTTATATTATGTATAGGTTGCTTTAATTCCTTTTGTAAATAAAATTTAAAATTTTCTTTTGTCATCCAAATTTAATATTTCGTTGTTAAAACTTTTTTTATAATATAGTCTGAGTATTACAAATATGGACTTCTTTAGTGGGTAAACATAAGAATATGAACGTAAATATATTTTTCAACATTTCTTACCTTAAATTTATTTTTGAGTTATGGTTTCATTTCATGCATTTTTCTTGACTGATATGTCATATATTAGGACACATGTTGAGATTTTGCATGTATACGGCCTACGATGATGTCACGCACAGTTTAATCTATTGTGGCATTTCTGTGTAATTTTAATTTTGGAACTACTCTGATATGCGCCCTCAAGTCGCCAAATTTCTTGCCAAACATTTTTGCCGAGAAACTCCACACTGCTATATTGCTATCTAAATTTTTTGTCTACATTTCGAACTTTAAGCCTAAAATGTCTCCAAAAACACGGTTTTCGCGAATGCAAAAACCACGTTTTGAACACACAATTTAAGCTAAAAATCCGAAACAGAAACAAAAAATTTAGATAGCAAAACCGTAAAGTTTCTAACCAAAATTATTTGACAAGAGTCCATGTACACAGTGATATGTTTTAACTTAAAAAAACATCTACGAATGGCACAATCTAGGAAATGAACGAATCTACAAACTACGCACACCTCGCTTTAATAAATTAACATAACAACAATAAATTTCAAAGAATACTATATACACAGCATCCTGTTTAAACTTAAAAAAACATCTACGAATTGCACAATTTAGGCAACAAACGAATATACGAACTACACACACTTAACTTTAATAAATTGACATAACAATAAATTTCAAAGAATACCATGTACACAACATCCTGTTTAAACTTTTAAAAAAAATTTACGAATTGCACAATTTAGGCAACGAACGAATCTACGAACTACGCACACCTTGCTTTAACAAAATAACATAACAACAATAAATTTCAAATAATACCATGTACACAGCATTCTGTTTCAACTTTAAAAAACATCTACGAATTGCACAGTCTAGACACTAAACAACAAAATAAACTGATTTTTACTGTGAAAATTTGAAAATATAAAGCTGATTTTTGTTATTTGACTTCTGAATTAATATTTGTTTCGCATGTTATTGTATCTTAATTTTAATATGTGTGTTAAGTGTAGTTTTGGATATGAAACACATGGCATTAAATAGATATGCAGAAGTACTGTAAAAAGTGAAAACTTTTAACCTAAATTTAAAAATATATTGGATACTTTCTGATTATCCGCAGCCCACCAAAAAGTTATAAAAAAATATTCATGACTCGAGGCAGAATGCTCCTTAAATAGTTATGTGGCAGCCCACTATGCCCCCTAAAAGTATTTATTTCCCAACTCAGGTATGTACATAGTACATATCTGTTTTGGCCTGTGTGCAAGTCATACGATGTGTATACGATGGCCAGAAGTTGTACGATTTTGTGTAATTCTCTAATGCTTTTTTTAAGCAAAAATAGATAACTGTGTGCATGAGGAGAGCAACAGTGAAAGAAAGGATTTTTCTAAAAATGTGTTTTATTACAATTTTCTTTTCTTTTTATAATTTTAATTGATTGCTCTTGTATGGAGTTCTTAGTGCACCTTTTAACCTTCTAGCATTTTGCACATTCATTTATTAGAAAAATTGTTAAGGTGTTTAAGATGTTTTGATAAGATTGCAGATAATCAGAAAATACCAAATAATGTTTATGTGATAAAAAATTAATATGTTGTTAATTTGAATTGTGTTCTTCGTAGAATTAAGTAGCTCAGAGCTAGTGAAGAAATTAGCGGAAAAATGGAGTCATCTTAGTAAGGATATGAGGAAAGTAAGTAAATTTCTCTTTCCTTTCACATCTTTAAATTTATATGATAGTGTCTCATTTTATGACTCTTTATTTTTAAATGTTACCAATAAAAGTAATTAAATCACTAAAACCTACTATACTAGACCTTATGTGCTAGTTATTTAGCCACTGCATGAGTAAACTTTTAGCACATGTTAACAGTTTTTGCTTTCGTGATGACTCAATAAGATAAGAGCTGTGAGTAGGCTGTATTTTGATACATTTTCTTTTCTTTTCTTTCTTTCTTTTTTTTTTTTTATTTATTTTTTTTTTATTTTTATTTTTAACAATATTTGATTTACTGATAACTAATGAAGATGTTATATTATTCTTCCAAGAAAGAGGCATTTTAGCATACATTTGAAAATGCAAAAATGTCCATGAAATTAAATTGTATATTAATGAAAGCGTCTGGAGTTGTAGGGGAATAAAGAACGATTTCTGAAAATAATATAGGTTTACTTTTGTAATAATTCTCTATTTTGATTAAATACTTAGGCATTTATGATTACATTTAATTCAAACTTAAAATCACTGAGGTCAAATTTCAGATCTATGAGTATGATTACTGCTTAATTTATAATAAATGACAAGCAAATTAAAATATCTTATATCTTTTATATTTGCTTATGTAATTTCATATTTTTGTCTTGTGTAATTTATTTTGTATTTTAAGCCATATGAAATCAGTGCTAGAGAAAATACTTTGATTTATGGAGAAGCACACAAAAATTTCTACGAGAACCTTACCAGTGAACAGAAAGAAGAGTTAGCAAGACTAAAAACTGAACAGAGGGAAGCTCGTCGTTTGGCAAAATTAAAAAGAGTAAGTTTGTGTTATGTAAAAGTTCTACATTTTTCTTCATGGTGACATGTATCAACATTGTGAAATATAAATATTCACTTTTAGAACCTCCGGGTTTTTTTTTTTATTATTACATATAATTAAAGAGCCATTTTATCATGTACTATATATAAAGAGATAAAAATTTCATGTGATTTTTTTCATTATTTTAACACAAGCAATAAAATTTCAGTTACATTAGTGGAATAACAGAATTTAAATTAAAATCTGACTCATTTATTAATTTAATTGGTCTTTAAACGTATTTAACTTTTTTAGGCTCTCCGTGAAACAAATCTACCAAAATCTCCAGGATCAGCCTACAATTTGTTTGTGCGTTCGCAAGCAAAAAAACTTGACGTTAAGGAACGACATGTAAGTTTCTCACTACCAAAAATACTTTTAATGAGAATTTATTTCTCAGAATTAAATCTTAAAATTTGGTTGCCCTTTATGATTACTACTAGTTTTGTGTGCATTAATTGTAATACTGTTAGCTTTGATTCCCAAGTTTTTCTCTTCTTTTTTAAGAATTATTATGATGATGATGATTAATATTACTTTTGTTGTTTATTCTGTTATGCTCTTAGCTTTACCTACTCATAAGCAAATTTAGATCAGTGGTTTTAATACAGTAATCAGTATTCTCAAATACGTAAAAAGTAACAGTATCTGTCATTGTGTAAATTCTGGCTCTTTGTAGTAAAAAAATGTATTAATTTGCTTCTTTAAACTTATTAAGATAATACCACTGAACTGCATTTGCCTACTTAAAGTTTTAAAATTGGGATTCATTTCTTATGTCTATTATGACTGGAGATATATTAATAAAATATTTTAGATGTATAAGAGTTAATTAAGTTACAATTTGGAAAGTCGTGCATCTTTGCCATTATTAAGGCTTATGTTTAAGTAGCACCAAGATCCATCTTGTTACTGGATTGCATCATATTGGCAGTCCTACTCAGAGCTCTTAGCAAGTCGATGACGAGTAGCTGGCATCCTAACCATAATAACTTAGTCTGCTTCTTATGAGAACAGCTCCAAATAGAATTATCACATTGGGCAGAGTTCAATAGTGCAGATGAAGACTTTGAGTGTAGGTTATGTTGTTGATATCATGCCATAACCATGAAACTGTACTTTTTTCCCTTACATGTGTTTTATATGTTATTTCTTAATGTTTTATGCACTGATAAATGTGAGATGTTCATATTCTCTGAAATAAATACGAGAATTATTATGTACAAATAAATTCTAGCTCAATTTCTTTCAAGACCAAATGCACACAAATCTCTGTATATGTCTTTCTTAAAATACTGATTTTATTAATTCACGGCTTTTGCATGGTGCTGACAATATCTTCTTTCTGGGTAATGATTTCTCCCTGTTTAAGAAAAACAATTTTTTTTCTCATATGGGATAATATACTATTGAGAATGAAAGATAATCATATACTTATAGTTTAAAATCGTTGTCAAGTTTAATTACTATTCAATGCAGCATTCATTTCATAAGTTATTTATTTTTTAAGGAGGGGGCACAGAACAAAATACAATTTGTGATCTGTTTCGTATACTGATAATGGAGACTTCATGTTAAAAATTATTTCCTGATGAAAAATTTATAATCAGTGCATTTAATAAAATAATATTGTGGTTTTGGCATGATGTTTGATAATATTAGGTTGTAACAGAAGTTTCCCACCACTGCAAATATAGTCTGTGCAAACAGTTTGCGTTAGTGTTTTTAATCATATTTTGCCAAACGATTTTTGGCATTTGGAAAAACGAGACTTGCTTTAGAGCACTGTGTTGTGAAATTTGTAAAAAAATATTATCATTAAGTACAAGGTCCTTAATGGAACTGCCAGATTAGAACCATCATTTACTTCCAGTTCTGTTGCAAACAATCAGCTACAGAATGTCTCAAAACCATGTGTATAGCTTTAAGTGCTAATGTTGTATCATATGACACTGTGAAGGTTTTAGTACTGAAAATTAAACAAGGACTATGACATTCAAGAAGCAGAGCACTCTGGCTGGTTTACTGTTGATGAGGCCCGCCTGCAAGAACTTGTTGAAGGAGATCAGTATGCAACCACTTTAGGGCTTGTTAAGGAACTCGTACAGTTGTTCTCAGTATGAGAGAGCACAATCAGTAGTTACCATTTCAAACTATTTAGAACATTAAACAAAAGACAATATTAAAAGCCTCAAATGCTTAAGATCATAAAGTGATCTCTCATTATTCTCAATACTCTAAACTCAACTAAAAACTGATGCTCTTTCTGGTCTTATTTAATTTTCCCATGTTCACTTAGAAATTTTCAATACTCTCGATTTATCAAAATTGCTGGAAGGCATACAAAGTTACAGTTACAGAAGGATCAGACCAGTTATGTTACATAGGCAAAATGCAGTCAAATGATAGCCATTTTGGGCAATTTGTCACCATATTTGGCAATAAAAATTGGTAATTAAAATCATTGTCAGCATGACCAGCATCATTAGTGGCAAGATTGCCATTTACCTCAATGTTAAATGGACTTACCCCTGTAACCATGTTTTTCTGGTGATGCTTCATACTCTTGAAGCCTTTCATGTTATGTTATACAAAAGATACAAGTTATGTATAATATCACTAAAATGTTTTACATATATACAAATTTGTAACAGTATGAAATATGCAGCTTTTTCAAACTATTGATTGGAAAAGAATGTAATATTGGCAATCATTTTTTGAAGAATTTTTTTATTCATTTTAAAATTTTCAACCTGCTGATAAATCAGAAAGTTCTTGCCAATAAGCAAATGCTACAGTGACCTAGCAGGTAATAATTGGTGAGAGTAATATCTGATCTGTTTAGGTAGATGAGTGAGAATTTCCTGTTACTGAGTTTTTGTGAAACCAGTTTTGCATTATGTGATTTAGTGCTATTGTTATGACTTATCTCATTTATCTGACAATAACATAGAAGAAATCCAAGATTTTTTATATGATGAGCACAGGATTGTGTCTGTCTGTGGTATGGGTTTTAGGCTTGTTATTGGTAACAGTACAATTGTGCCCAACTCCATCTCAGTTTACAAAGATAATCACTTGGAGAACAGATCCAAAGGTCTTCCCTACCACAGACTTCTTGAGAGTACTTTAAGTTTACCATGTAGTTTAAGTGTCCCCATGCCTCAAAGACGTCATATACTTAAAAAACGTGCAAGGTGGGTTTTTTTTTTTTTTTTCTTCCCCATGATTTAAACTCTGGCAGAAGATTTGATATAGCAGCCAGCATCTCTAACTTCAGTATTGATCAGAGTGATGTGATTCTATTTAAAGAATTACAGTAGGTCTGATGATTTATGTACATTTGGAGAAGTTGAAACCCATTTCAAATGATTTAATAGATGACAACTATGTCTATATTAATTAATTGATTATAATTTAACAGTTCAAAGTGTATGATATTTTCTGCATCTCATCACGTGCAGAGCAAAACCCCCTTTGGTTGCAATCCTTGTTTTTCTGCGAGTTTTGGCTACTATTTCAACTTCTGTCTCTGTCTTTTTCAAGCAGCATTAGCTTAAAGCAGGGCTGTCCAACTTCAAATGGCCCAAGGGCCACTTTAAAAAAAGTTCGGTTTGGAGAGTCGCATTATAAAATACTTTGTACGCAACTTTATCAGCGAGTTTTCATAAGTATGGTACTAAAAAAGAAAAGCATTTGTATTATTATTTTGATTTATTCAAAATTATGAAATTACAAAAAAGTTAGTGGGAAATTTGAAGATGTTGGTTTTCACTAACTAGTGCATCAATATTAACTTTAATATTTGTTGTTGATTAACGAAGCAGCTGAGTAAGCAACTTAATCAGAGAGGGAACATCTATATTTTGACTTTATAAATTTCATGTTGCAAAAGCTGCTTTTGCAAAGATACGTGTTTCCCGCCATTGAGCCCAGTGTAAACCCTAAGTTTTGCAAGTTCGGGCATCATTCTCCAGGCAGCAACTTGAAAAAAATCTAATTCAGTTTCAGTTCTTAATTGGTAAAAAGGAACTGATTGCATATCATACAATTATCTGCTCTTCAGGTCTGCTCTGCTTATGTTCTCAACAGAAATTGTAAGGGACTGAGTAAAAACTTAAATCTCTCGTTCGATTGCTGTGTTTCTTGTAGCTTCAAATTCATTTTATTAAGGTGAGTTGTCAGGTCTGTCAAAAAGGCAAGGTCTAAAAATTGTGTATCTATTATTTGATGTTCTGTAGTGTCGGACTTCACTTCATCTGTAAGGAAAATTGGAATTATTGCAAACAGTTTCTGGTGTTTAATCAACGAATATCGCTGTAAAGTAACAAGTCCCCATATGAAGCATTTATTTCGGCCAAAAAATCACAAAACTTTCTGTGAGTCAAAGCACAATTGCTCCCTCTAACAATATTAATTATTTTAACAACCACATTCATGACATTAATTTGATGTAAGGATTTTCCACATAGGACCTGTTGGTGAACAATATAGTGTATCACAGGGCAGTTGATGTTGTTTTGTTTCAAGAGTCCTGTCAAACTCAATTTCAGTTCCTATCATAGCTATGTCTCCATCAGTAACAATATAGGAATGTTTATCGAATCCCCCATAGTTCCACACCATCTTATTTACAGCTTCAGAAAATCCATACCCTTGGTTGTACTATGGAGAGGAATAAGATCAAGCATCTCCTCTGCTAAACTGAAGTCGTTTTGTCTTAAAACATCCTTTTTCCAAAGAAAATCTCAGTTGCATTTTGTGTAAACGGAGAAGTGCAACTTTATATGTGTTTTGATTTTTCAACTGAGAATTCATGTGAAACTCAAAAGAGCAGCATGGGAAAGTTTTTATCTTCATTTCAAGTGGCCCATTGCTGTTAATTTTTTACAGTGAAAGGTGTATCTTTACTGCATCATTTTCCGCATCTCTTAGTTCCCACTCCTAGTGCCCTATGATCATCCTTAAGTTCAGATTTCTACTTCAGAACTTCTTAAACTAGCAATGTCATTGGCAATCATTGATAGTCCTGTGATATTGAAAAAACTCTTCTGATTCTGTATTCAAAAGCTAGCTTATTTATCCAAATATTTTAAAATTCAAATTATGTATTTTTATTGATATAAGGTAGATTTACCTTAAATTTTAAAAAAAAGTATTTAAAGTTGCATATGAAAGTTTAAAAAATTGCTTTTATTTACCTCATACAATGATAAGATTAATTATTTTTAACAGGAATTTATAAAGGAATGTGCTGAGTTGTGGAAAAAAATGTCTGAATATGAGAAAAAGGTTTGTCTTTAAATTTATTCAAATGCAGCCTCAAACTGTCTTATTTAATATGTTAATATATAAGATATAATTTTGCAACTTTGTTGTTTTTATTTCTTTATGAATTTAGTGGCAATCAAGAAAACCTGTATATTATTATGTTAAAACATGATTTTGAAATTGCATATTATTGCATATTCCATCATTTGTTGGAAGGCTAAAAATAAAGATTTATGAAAATAGTAAATTCTAAAAACTACCTTTGCCATGCTTTTGAATAAAAAAAGTTTCAGCTATAGTACATATTTCAGTCTTTCAGTGCACATACATATTTACTGAACTTCGTTTTCAAGTTCTGGAACTTTGATCTGAAATTATTGATATTATTTACAGTTGTTTATAATTGCTGCCATTTAATATTAATAATAATAAGAATTAATGGGGAATATGTAATTAATAAATATTAATAAATATGCATACCCATATGCATATTTATTAAATCTTCATTTTGTCGTTCATTAATTAGATAAAATATTAAATTTGGTTAGTTCTTATGACTAAATGTAATTAGTTTCCATAGCTATACTAATGTAATTAGTTTCCATAGCTTTACTTATCTAAAGCCGGAGGCTGCTTTCTGAATGGTGGTATTAGAAAAGGGGGGTTCTCTGAAAAGAGCTTTTCTTGAAAACAAATTGCTGAAAAAATTCTGGAATATTTCTTTATTTTGTGAGAGTTAATATCTGTGGTGATTTCATTGGGAGTTATTTCTGTAGGGCTAATTAATATTTATGTAATCAATTCAAAGCCATTGACACCCCTAATAATTCACTGGCTGTATAAGAAGAGTATTAGATGTTTTCAAAAAAGATATATGATCAGTCTAATTTTATATTATGTCAGTAGTAATACCAAAAATGTACAAATTTAAGAAGTTTTGAACATGATTAGGGAAAATGCTATGTAATAAAATTTAAATATTGAGACTTGTAAAAAGGAATACAATATACTAAATCATTCATGAATAATAAATCTTGTTTTTTTATTCAAGTTGTTAATTTGAAATTTTTTTTCAAATTGAAATTTATTCATTTTGTCCCCCCCCTTCTTCTTACAAAAGTCATTTTAAGTCTTCTTATCATCAAGCATAACAAAACTGTAATATTTTAAAATTTGATATTGAAGCTTTAGAAATTCCTAAAATAGTTACGACACTTTTTGATAATACAAAATTCCAAATTCAAATGCTCACAGTATTGCAAATGCATTTATTAAGTATACATACTGAAAGACTAGAATTTTCATTATATGCCTTTTCTAAATTGCTGCAATGTTTTAAACATGTTCTACAGACTGCTATAATTCTCCCCTTAAATGCCTCTTCATACTGTTATAATTTTTGGAAAATGCTGCTCTGGACTGCTGCTCTTTTTAAAATATGTTGTAACCTACTACATTTTAAAAAACATTCCACTGCATTACTTGAGCCAAAAGTAAATTTTTCTGCCACATAATTAATCATTTGTATAAAAAAAAAAAGTCTGCTATATATTAATCTGGTTAAATTATTAAAAATAACATTCTTAAAATTAACTTATTGTCAAAAGTGACAAAGTGCATGTTGTTTCATTATAATATTGAAATCAAAATTGCCTCACCCTCCAGCATATCTTATTTTTCTATAGATACAGGAGGGGGGATTTACAGTTTCTATAGATCGGCTTAAAAGGTCCTGAATTTGAATGAGTAGATTGCAAGTAATAAACTGTTAACCAGATATGGCATTAATCATATTATAAATAAATGAGCTATTTATTAATATTGTGGCTTTGATTATATCATACTACAAATATTGAAATAATACTTTGTTCTTTACTACGAACGCTTCATTAGGTGTGTAATTTTAACTCAAAGGACTAATAAGTTATGTATAAAGTATCATTTGTTTTATTACTATTATTTTTTTTAATAATTTTCTTCAATATAATTTGCAATATTTCTATTTCTGTCTGAAATGAAAGCTTTTTTTGAAAATCTGTTCATGTGACTGATTGAAACAGGAAATTGGCAATAAATATTCTTGCATTCCAGCAGCAAGGCTTGGAACTACCCTAGACTGTCAAATTTATTTCTTAATTTCAAAAATATTAAATCAATATTTTGCAGTTTTTTTCTTTATCTGACTTATCTTTCAAGTAATAAAGCTAGAGTTTAATTGCAACATATAACCAATCATCTAAATCAGTGGTTCTCAACCCCTATGCCGGAAAGCACCGTGGTGCCCGCCGAACGTTTAACGCTATGCAATCACAATAAAAATGTTTTAGCTTTCAATAAATTTCTATGTGAAATTTTTCTCATTTTTAATGAAATAGAACTTCCTTCCAACACAGATACCAGCACAAAGTGACCGATCTCTTTTATGTCCATGTATTATTAACTCTATCCAACTATAAATTTACTTTGAAAAAGCAAATGGTGCCCGCCGTCCAACAGATATTCTGGAATGTGTTCTTAGGGACAAAAAGGTTGGCGACCCCTGATATAAATCATCCTTTCATATTTCTAAATCAAATAAAATTAAACTTATTAAATTATATATTAATTTTTTTTCATTGATGTAAACTGTAAATAATATAGTACAGCATATTAAAAAGCTATTAATTTGGGTAAATGAATGTAGCATATGCTTTAGCCTTCAGTATTGGCAAATATACCACGTATAATTTTTAATGGAAAAAGCAGTTACAAGCAGTCATATATCTACAGATCTTTGCTTAGCCTTTGATTGTCTCTTACTCTAAAAGTCATTGTGTAGCCATAATAAATACTTCTTTTCCAAAAATAAGTGATAATTTGAGTTACATGATCTGCCATTGTCTAGCTATAGCTAATTAAAAGAAACAGGGTTTCTATGCTACCTGAAAAAAAACTGAAAAACCAGGAAAAGTCAAGGAATTCGAAAATTGGCCAATAAAATCAGGGAATTTGAATATTTTGGCCAAAATCTGGGAAGGTCAGGGACGTGGCGCGCAATGAACTGGAAGTTGATCTGTCAGCACTATCCTTATCTTCAGGGCAGACGTTTTTATTTTATTTAGCTTATAATTCCTTACTAAATGTAGTATTTCATCTCAATATACTCTGTCTTTGATATGATATAAATCAAATTCCTCATCATTAGAAATATCACAAATAGACATCAAATAGACAAGACTTTCTGGTTGCAATTTCCTAATTTCAACTATGTGTAATGTATGCTTTACGCATGCGTGCGTTGAAAGAAATGCTTAATAAAGTACACAAATAAATATTCAGCTTTTTTGTTTTTGTAAATTTTGATACCCTTTAGATCATAATTGCATTTTATTTCATAAATTACGGTTTCATATATTTAATTTTATAATTGCATGCCATCTTACCAGATTTAAACTGATGATCTATAATCCGGAATCGCCCAACGAGTCCGGATTAAAGACTTTTGACTGTATAAATAAGCTAAAAATTCATTAAAAAATTAGAATAAAACTTCTTACACGGTTGCAATTATTATATTATCGAGAAATTGCCTTGCTTTTATACCAATTTACTAATTAATTTAGATGCTTTAAATTTATATATATATATAGTCATATGTAATTGGCAAAATTTTGTGTTTTCAAGTGGTACCATAATTAATTTACCCTCAGCACAGCCGACACGCGCTATGTGGATAGCTTGGAATTTTCTTGAAACACACCTGGAAAACCCAGTGAATTTCATGTTCAGGTTTGAGTGGCAATCATGAAGAAATACTATGGTGCCTTTGTATTATTTGTACTAAAAGGAATAGAATGGCAAACAGAACAGATTGGAGTACAGAACCTTCCTTGCGAGAGGACATTGGAAGGAGAATAACAACTCTCCAAATTTTTCTGGCTCAGTATCTGGCCGGGCTATGATCTCAGTTAGTTCTAGATATTTGGAGTGTACTCTCTCACTTGCTCTGTGTATATATATACTCACACATACACACACACACATACATATGCATACATCGTACAAAGTCCAATATCTGGAATCGTCACAACTTTGGCAATTCCAGATCATCAGTTTTAATTTAATAAGAGGCTATGTAAAAATTCCAAAATTAAAAATGGGAAATATAGTACAAAGTTCGTAATCCGGACATCCATTATCCGGAATGATCTATAATCCAGACCTCAAAGCCACAAACTTTTTCTTTGTATGCTTTATGCATGCGCGTAGTGCATTTACGCATACGCGTTTAATGTATAACGGACGGTTACTGATTCTAAGGCATTTCAGTTAATGCTGCAGTTTGCGCTGTTTCTTAATCTTCTAATTAGAAGATCTGGCTTATTATTTTTTGCAGACTGTTAGAGCAATTTTATAAAAATTAAGCTGAACTTTCGATTATGTCAAAAATAGTTTCCAATTCTGGAGCTGCCAAAGGATCTACAAAGCGAAAGCATGTATCGATGTACCACTTCTGATAATGAAGAAAGTGACAGAGAGGTTATTGAAAACGAAAAAATTTCGATTGACAAATTAGTCGGTATTCTCGACACAGCAATTACAGGACTTGAACAGTGGAACTTTGTAACTGAACAAGAAATGATGTCTGTTTATAGAATTAAAGAGAAAGTATTAGCATAAAAAATGAAGCAACTTAAACAACTTACATTGAAAGAAATGTTTAATGAAGTAAACAAATAAATATTAACCTTTTTTTTTTTTTTTTTTTTTTTTTTTTTTTTGTAAATTTTGATGCCCTTTAGATTGCTCTTTATTTCATAAATTACGGTTTCATATTTTTAATTGAATAATTTCTGCATGCCATCTTACCAGATTTAAAGTGATGATCTATAATCTGGAAAAACCCCTAATCCGGAATCGAAGTCCTGACAAGTCTAGATTACGGATTTTGTACTGTAGTTGTTTATGAAATAATGAAGCATTTATCATTTTAAGGGAACCGAAATTTCTAACCATGTTTCCCTGCATTTGTTTTCCCCCTCAGTATTTCCAATAACTTAATAGTAAATAGTTATTCCTAATTTCTTTAACTGTTGTTTTCTTACTGTACTTATAAAATGAAAAGTATTTATAAACAAACTACTGGTAGCTATCAAGCTAGGTGTGTGGGGAGGTAGTAAGGAGAGAAATATAATGTTTGTTTGTTTCCTAAACATTTCTTTGAATGTAAGTTGTTTAAACTTTTTAAACTTTTGCTAATACTTTCCTCTTTTATTTTATAGATATTTCTTGTTCAGGTATAAAGTATCATTGTTTAGGTCTCATGATTATTTGTCGAGAATTTTAACTGAACTGTCAGTCATAGTCTATTCATTCTCAGCAACAGGTGTGTAACTTTTTTCACTATTGATAGCAATAATTAAGGATTATTATTTATTACAGGATTTAAAACTGTACTACAGGTTCCGCTATCCATTAGTTGACTGATGATTAGGGCATTGTGATCACAATAAAAAACTTCTGTTACATCTTCTTCATTTATTACACTTCTCCACATTTCTTGCAAACTCTGTTAATTAGCAGATTTCATCTTCTATAGTGTTCGAAATCTATGCCAAAATGAGGTTGCTTTCGCCTAATTTTAAAATTACACCTTTTTAAGTTTGAATTGTGTCAGTGCCATTTTTTTTTTTTCTGCTAAGGCCAATAGAAGGCAAGTACCAAATATGCTTTAACTTTGCAGATCGTGCTGCAGCTCCACAATCGGAGAATTTTTCAAAATAACCAACATTCAAATTTTAACTTTGATAATAGCTGTAATAATAATAGCCTGCAAAAATTATTAAGTTTAATCAAATTAGTTAAGGAAGAGCACAGTTTGCTATGTTTGCTAAACTTAATTTTTCCAAATCTGTTCATTCTTTGTTTTGGTCTTCAACAAAAGAAAACCAGTATTAGCAACATACTTTTCCAAACAAATATGTTGTGGGGCTTCAGTTATTCTTTAGGTTAGTTGGAAATATATTACTCCCCCTTCCACAACCACTCAGAGACCGAAAGTGTAATTGTAGTTAACATCAACCAGTGTATTGTCATTGGCCATAGTTATTCCCTAGTCAGCATGCGTTTGAAAGTAACATACTAGAATATCAGTTAATTGGGAGAAAAATCTCTGTTATGACATACATGCCTTTTGAATATTATACTAACCATTCCAAATTTCATAATAATAATAATTGCTTGTGGTCCAGATATTGAACATCTGGATTTTGGACCTTTGTACTCTTATCTGCACTTAAGATGTGCAGCACTATAAAATCCATAGGCTGGAAGGATGGATGGATGTTTTACAGCAGCGTCTCTTAAATTGTGGGTCGCGACTCCCAGGGGGATCGCGGGACCTGCAGCAGGGGGTCGCAAAAACATTTAGCAGTTTTGATATTTCTTATTATAATAAATTTACAATTACCAAATATTTTTACACAATGTATCTGAAAATAGATGAAGATATGTCAGTACAGACAAAGAAAAAATGAAAATGTTTCTACGCATTCTTTTTATTATATAAATGTTCATTCTACTTGCTTTGCACATGATGCTGTCATTTCGTCTGTTACTTATTTAAAATTTTCACATTATTCTGTGTCTTAAAATTAGAAATTAAAGTTAATGATCTAAAACTGCAATAGTATATTACAGTACAAGTGAAAAAATTGACAGTTTCACACACACGTGTGTCGGATTTACACAATGCTTAGGGGTCCCACAAAATTTTCATAATTATTATGGGATCCTGGAGGTCACGAAAAAATCTCATTGATAAAAAGGGGTCGTGACTGAAAAATGTTTAAGAAACTTTGTTTCAGAGGAATGATTATGATGGAGATGTTATCGTTTACTAAAAGTTTAAGTGAAGTATGAGCCAAGCAGCTGTCTCTAACAAGGACAGTTTTTATATCATGTAGTAAACCTACCAGTTTCTAATGCTGCTGAACCTAGTCCATGAAAGAATTTTTAAACCAATCATTCATTAATGTTTGTGTCATTCATGCTCTTTTATTTGAACATTAGATGACGGAGAAAATGTGTACTATTTTAAATGCCCAAGGTCATGTATTTTTTCTAATGATGAAAAGTTGGCATTTGGGCATTCCTTTAGCATTTGCACATGCCAAAATCATTTGTTTCATTATGGAATATTTGATACCACTTGGAGTCTTTTCTGCAAAAGTGTCCAAGGTATTTCAGGGCACATATTGCCAGAAAAGACCATTGTCAGCATTATGAATTGTTCTGGAGGTAATGTTATGCTGTTAAGGAGTTTAGTGAATTTATCTGATTCAATATTAACTGAAACTTTCTCCCTGAAATTTTTAACTGCCTTACGCACAACATTTTTTAATTTGATTAACCAACCTGATGAATATGTGTTCTTGGTTTTTAAGCCAATTTTCTTTTGAAATATTTTGGCTTGAACCTTTAGCACTAGGTCCATCAATGGCACACACTTGCTGTGATGCTTTCTCACCCATTCAAAGAGCACTTTGTAATGATCATCACTTTTAGCATAAAAAGACATTTTCCTGGTATTCATTGCAAGTGGAGTGTCAGAATCTACAAGACATTTAAAATATTCCTTTTCTTTCTTTTTCATACACTGTTTACCTTCCAATGGAATACTTGTCACATAATTTTGAGACAGATATGCCTTTATCCATATTTTTTGCAACTTTTTCACTTTTTGCTTGATAGAAATTAAAACATGCTTTCACTTTGCAAGTCTTTGCTCCAGAATTAGAAACTCTTTTCGATGTAATTCAAAATTCAAACTATAATCTTGATAAGATAACTGTAATAATAGCCAGAAAAAATTAATAAGCTGGCTTAGATTAGAAAGCTAAGAATGAGCACATTTGCTATCTTAACTGAAATTTCATTTAATCTTTCTCCGTTTCCTATTGCTGTGCCAAAAAGGAAAATAATAATAATAATAGTAAAAGTATGAATAATTTCCCATTCTAAACAAATATGTCTTGGGGCTGTACTTACTTTAGGTCAGATAAATGTGAATCCCTCTTCCAGACATTCAAGGGTTGGACAATACATTGATTGATGTTGGCCTTGCGATGAAGGCTAACATCAATGTATTGCCATTAGCCATGATGTGATTCCCTGAAGAGAAAGCAGGTGCTTGAAAGTGATATGCAAGGATCTCAGTTAGTCTGGAGAAAATAATTTTTTACAGCACACTTTCTTTTTCTCAAGTATTATATTCTCTATATTTCCTTATATAGAATTTATAAGGGGATTTTTTCCCTCCTTCTTTGGTGGTTTGGAGTCTTGATATTATATAATTCCATATATTGGACATCTGGATTTGGGACTTTGTATTGTATATATTTTCTTGATTTATAATGAAAACACTGCAGAAAAGTAAATAGAATATTTTTATGTTCATTTTTGTTTCAGAAAAGCAGTATTTCATCTGTAGGATGTTGAGTTATCTACTAAGTGATTAAATGTAAAATGCTGTTGCTTATAAATCCATCAGTTATTTAGTTCACTGATAGGAATATTTTCTTCTTGCAGCAGTTTAAAAAGGAAGCAGAACTAGAGAAATTACGATATGCAGATGAAATAAAGAGTTGGAGAGAGCAATTACTAAAAGAAGGCAAATCTGACCTTGTCAGTTTATATAATGATATGAAGGGACGGAGAAAACTGGATGATGAACATTCTGCTTTAACTGAAAGAAAGAAGTCATCGAGAAAAGGCGATGTCAAAGAGCAAGTTGTTTGACTTTTTTAGAATGAAATGACTTTAAAAGTTTGTTTTGAATATCTATTTTGATATAGAAACTGCGTGGATTCTTCATTTTAAATGTCGTTTATTTTAGAAAATGTGAAATTTTTAAAATGTATTTCATTCATCAAAATATGGAATCATTTCTCTAACATGTACAGTATTTTTGCTTCAGTTATTTTTTTTATCCAGGGTGATAAATGGGGAAAACTGGATGATGAATATTCTGCTTCAACTAAAAGGAAGAAGTCATCAAGAAAAAGCGATGGCAAAGAGCAAGTTGTTTGACTTTTTTAGAATGAAATGACTTCAAAAAGTTTGTTTGGAATATCTGATATAAAAACTATGTGGATTCTTTATTTTAAATGCAGTTTATTTTAGAAAATCTGAAATATTTAAAATGTATTTCATTCATCAAAATGTGGAATCATTTCTCTAACAAACACAGTCTTTTTGCTTCAGTTATTTTTTTTTATCCAGGGTGATAAATTTATTTACTTTTCAGAATCTCTACAAGTATTTTAATACATATGTGTAAATGAAAAATAAAGGAAGTTATTATTTGAAAATTAAACAGTTTTTTGGATTTATAAACATTGTTGCATGCATACCTCATACATATAAAACAGAACTTTTGCATACAATTATGAGCTACAGATCTCTAATTACTACACCAGAAAAGCTAGATAGAATTCATTTTTTACTGAAATAAGTTAGAGTTATAAATAGCTCAAGGAGAAAAAAAACAGAGATAAAGTAAATTTTCTTTATAATGTATGAAATATTGCAAATTACCAGATGTCAAATATTGGCCAGATTTGCATATTCAAGTCAATTAGCGGCAACAGCCACTAGTACGGAAGATTATCCTACAGTTGGAATTAAATTCCAACTGTGGAATTGTATAGTAGGAGCAAGAAAAGGTGTAAAGCTAGTAGTGAGTAATGGCAGAGAGTGAGAACTGCCTAAGAGTGGGAGCCTGTTCCAGTGTGGCCGAGTGAATTTTGTGCCAAAAAGCAGCTCAACTGAAATTTGTTCCAGAGTAGTCAAATGCTAATTCCAAATGTCTCGGGAAGTTAGAGATTGGACTACAAGATCACCAGCTTCCCTTAACACTTTCATTGCTGGGCATGTGAAGTTGTATTGATAAATAATGCTGTGTTATAGAAATAAATTGTACCTATATGCCCACTAACTTATTATAAGAAATAGGATTTAAAAGAGGTAATAAAAAATTATGTATACCGTATTGATTGCTAAGCTTAAGTATAGAATGTTATGACTGCGCGCAAGCGCACGTTCGCCACTAGAGGTGAAATTATTTCTGCAGTGCCGCATTACGGGCTGGAGCATGGCATTTAAAAATTAATCAAAATGAGAGACAATGTGCATTATTTTTGTGTGAAACAAACGAACAAACAAATATATATATATCATAAATAAATATACATATATATTACAAATGAATTTATTATGAAATATTTACAATGGTATTATTCCAAAATATATATTTTAAAATGTTATTTGTGTGTGATCTTTGCATGAAATGAATCTTCGTTTTCATTGCAGCCCACATACATTTACAACTAGTTTCTAACCTTCACTTCAACTGAAGCTGAAGTAAAGGTTTAACTGAAGTAAGTTGAAGTTTGAAGTAAGTTTTAACTGAAGTTGCTTTGTTTTCTACAAACCTACAGATTCAAAGTCAGATACTTACAAGTTCTATCTTTGAATAAATTAGAATTAAGACTATACAGTGAATGTTTACACATTTTCAAAATGATTTTGATAAAAAAAAAAAAGAGATAATTTAAAAGTAAATGTTTTGAAATAAAAATTTCTGTCAGTAGCTTATTATTTGAAATGAGAAATACTGCCTGCTACTTTTAAATTTATTCTTCCTTCAAAATGTTGCATGTAAACAAGCTGTAGATTAAAAAATATGTTTTGCATGTTCTGAAGAGAAATATTCCTATTCCATAATTCAAAAACATCATAAAATGCATGGTATAAAATTTCGATGTGCAAAAAAAGCAGTATTATGAATAGAAAAGGAGAAAATTGTTAATTATTTCTTGTACGTAGAAAGAAGACTCCAAACAAATGCCTAAAAGAGGTATGCCCTTCTTCTACAGTTAAATCGTTGGTAACAAGAGAAAAACCACAGATATCAATTACAAAGTCTTTAAGTACATTTGCAGCATCAATAAATAAAATAATAAACCAAGATTTACAATTAAGCTAAAAGACATAATGTTCACTAATTTTTGCCAAGAAATGTGGCTGAACACAGATCAATTTGTAGCATCCTGTAGGAAAACTATTTAGCGAGAAATAAATGAAAATGCATTGTGACCCTTGATGAAGTATGGGTTTATTTAAATGACTGCAACAAAAAGAGGTCTATTTATTATTAAAAATGGAGAGCTAAACATATAAAAACGTGGTTTTTGTCAATGCAAAGAAAGTTTCAATAAGGGTTTTATGATTGTCATAGGATTCTCTTACGATGACAAATTAAAAATAAAAAGGATGGGGAAAAAATTTTAATAAGCAACTCAACATACTATCAAGAGAAACATTTGTTCAATATTTACAGAAGAAATTCCATTTTTTTAACTTGGTGACTTTCAAAAAGTGAAAATTCATTAAGCCGTAGCAACACGTCATGCTTTGAAAATTACAACCACATTCCTTGAAAAAAGAAAGTCTGATTCAGATATTGCATATATAACTTTTCAGGGTAGTCCTGTGAAGTTCCCTGACATTTCACCTGTGGACTATTGTACCTCTGGCCTCCTGAAAGAGTTCGTTCTAAACACAAATCTACCACAACTCATGAACTCTGGAAAGTAATGAAAGAGGAATGGAAATTTTATGAAAAGCCTTTCTCTCATGGAAATCATAGTGCAGGCTTATGGTCCAGAAAAAAGCTATCAGATCAAATGTTTAAAAAAATCATTTTCGCATTTTAAACGGTGATCTAAAATTGTTTAAAAATGTGTAAATACCCTCTGTAGAATAAATAAAATTTGACTCCAATTATTAATATGAATATCACTTACAAAACAGTAATTGCATATTCCAAACTGGTTTACTTGGCTAATTTTCTAAAGTGTTCGAATTCTCATAGCTCAAATGTAGTTGTTTACAAGGTGTGCAAAATGCTGTTTGCAAATGTTATGTGCTGGTCTATTAGACTATGTCAAAAATGTTTTATGTAGGAAATTGTGTTCAAAATTGTGACTAGCTGCAACTAGAGGGCAAAGTTCACAGACATATTGGAGAGCAAGTGAGATCATTTCAGGCAAGAATGTCATACCAGAAGGATGAATTGATTCAGCAATAAGGACCATGGATGGAAATGGACAACCCATGAGACGTGTCCACTGAGAGCCTTTCTCAAACAGACATCTGCCAGGTCATTCATTGTTTAGGCGATTGCAATGCAGACTAAATGAGGCTGAAAGTTTTTCAATGAGCAGCTGCATCGATTAGCTGCTTGCTACATGCACGTTTCCTGTACAGTTAGCTGAGGTATGGGAAATTGAGAGAACGTGTGTATACAAGGCATGATCCCAAGTCCTCTCAGTTCAGTTGCTGTGATACTTGTTCTCTGGTTCCTCTTAATTCAAAATAGCATTGCTTCCTCTTCAGCAGGTGTGCATGTCAACAGATGTGACTGCTTACTCAAAAAGCTTCAGACACACTTAATCTGTGGTACAGTTGTCTAAACAATGGAAGACTTTGCATATGTCTGTTTGGGAAGTGCTCTTAGTGCATGTGTCTCGCAGCTTGTCCATTTCTATCCACAGTCCTATATATGTAATGCATATCAGCATAGTTCTTTATTGTGTCCTTTCATCCTTTTCTGCCTGAAATCATTCTTGCCTGAAATGATCTTACTTTCTCCTCTTCAATACACCTGTGAACCTTACTTTCTAGCAGCAGCTGATCACAGTTTTGAACATAATTGCCTGTGTAAAAATTTTTCATCATGATCTGACAGACCAGCACTTAAAATTTGTAAATGACCTTATAAGGTATTTCTCCCATCTTCTTAGCATGCCTTCGTAGTGTAGTGGTCAGCATGCTGGGCACGCATTCCAGAGGTCCGTGGTTCAATTCCCGGTGAGGGCATTGCCCTTTTTACATCACACCTGCTTCCAAAATACCTAATGTCTCTACAACTTTTTGGATATCCTGTATATAGGGTTTGACAGCCTTTTATTAACTTTATAAAAAGATTCTCATATCTCTTTGAAATTGTTTTTTCTAAAAGCTTCCAGAATGTAAAGTTCAGGAGAAATCGCCAAATCTCATCACGGTTCATCAGTTAAGTTTTTGCCTATGTCTCAGCTTTCAATTGAGTTGCTTTCACTGTTTAAATTTGATTAGTTTAGAATTGCAAAACCTAGAACCTTGAACATGAAATAAATAATAGCAAATGCAATATATGGCTACAGAATAAATTCAAAAAAAAAAAAAAAAAAAAAAGACATGTTAACAATATTCCAGAAAATGCGCCAAATAAGTAAATCTGTACATAACACAGAACAACAACAAAAAAAAAAAAAAAAAAAAGAATCAAATAACCATAAATATTCACATTTACTGTGGTACCTCAGCATAAGAGTTTAATTTGTTCTGTGAAAGATAACAGGTCACTTTCTGCTGTGCAAGGATCCACTTCACACTGTGGTTTGGCAAGGAATGCAAAGGAATAATAGTAGATGTGATGTTGGGAGAAAAAAAAAACTGCATATTGTTACAGGGTGTACAGAGCAAAAGGTGAAATTAAGTAACATCACTTAGATCTAGCCCATATGCTGCCAGGATTCCTTTGCTTTTTGTGATACGTGCCTTTTGTTTCTGTAATCGAGGTCATAAGCTGACTTATTCTTATCCTGAAGCAATTTTTCTCGCTGCAATATATTTAAATAGTACCATTAATCCATTGCAGCCTCCACCCCCCCCCCAGATAACCACCTCAGTATTTTTGTTATATGTTTTTAAATAAGAAAAAAAATGTACTGTATTGTATAGGAAGCTGATAAAAACTTCATAATACAAACATATAAAAGAGAATGTAAAGAAATACACTAAATTTTTAAAGTTTACTATATTCTACTTACATAAATCATGTATTCATTATTCTTTACCAATTTTTGTCCTCTACTTCACTTTCATCTCAAGTGCGTTACAACAGAAACTTTTCCATGGAGGTTTGTTTCATTCTTCCTTTAGAAATGCTTTTGTGTATTACAAAGCTATCATTTATTAGGGTGAGTTTAATTAATTTCAAGACCCTCTGCAAGTTTGGATTTATGGGTCCTCCAACAGGGATCACCTTCAAAACTGCATTTTCTGGAGAAGCTTTCTATATAATGTTACATAATTAATTGCCACTAGTCATTTTATTTTGAAAGCAAGTATTGTAAGCAGTTAACCTGTCTTTTATAACCCTGCAGCCTGGAATCTATACTTGTCTACTGTTATTTTAGCATCCTTACACGTATTTAATTCTTGGAACTGCCTAACAAATTTCAAAATATGTTGTAATACTTGGTAACGCTGTTTGCTTCTTTCGAGGATACGGAGAAAATCAGGTAGCTGCTGACCGCTTGCTCACATTCTTTTCTATTCTTGCGAAACGTTAGGAGACTTGTCTGAAGTTTTGGGACAGCATCTTATTGCAAATTGAACTCACATCAGTTAACTGTGGGTGTCGTTCCTCAGTTCGCATCCAGGTGTATAAGTGTTACATATTTTGGGAAACTTTTGAGACTCTGTGAAGTGAAAATGTCATTCGAAAGGAAAACAAACTAACGTGACATTGGACATGAAATTAGATGCGTTAAAGAGACTAGACAAAGGGGAAGATGTAAACAAAATTACCATGGATTTAGGTGTTGGATGGACTACTTTGATAGAGTGGAAAAGAAAAGGTCCGAAATCGAGTCTTGTGAAAAGAGCTTGTGTAGATAATTTAAAGGAAAGAATAAGTATTAAAGGTGATGAATACGAAAAAGTGAGCAAGGCGCTTTATTTATGGTTCAGGCAGCGAAGCGAACAGGGAACACCCATTTCAGGACCAATTTTACAAGCCCTAAACTTTTATGATGAATTTCAAGAATGTGAGTCTGGATTTATTGCGAGTGCTGGCTACGGTATCAGGGAGTTAAAGGTTTGTGAGGAAAAGGTATTTCTAACTTGGAAAATGCTGCAATATTCAGGGATAATTTCCACAAACTAATTGAAAAGGAGGGTACATCTGGAGATCAAATTCATAATTGTGATGAGACCGGTCTGAATTTTCAAATGCTACCTTCGAAAACGCTGGCATTCAGGGAAGAAAAATCATCGGCACTTGGCTACAAAAGAAGCAATGAAAGAGTCACAATCTTGACATGCAACAGGCAGCCATAAGCTCAAGGCTTAACAGGCGCTTATATGCAAATCAAAAAAACCCCGAGCGTTTAAAAACGTTAAAAAGTATACTAATGGGACTGAAGCCAACTATGATCTTCCTGTTTGGGTACCGGAATCAGTCGAACGCATGGATGGATGGAGCAATATATAATGATTGTTTCATCAGCAGTTCGTTCCATGGGAAGGAAAGTTTTTAAAATAAAAAAATTATGCCATGGAAGCTGATTCTCATTCTAGACAATGCCTCGTCCCCTTCTGATGCTGAACAGTTACAAGACAAAGATATAAGAGCCATACTTCTCCCTCCTGACGTTAACTTGAGTGTGTCAGCCGGTGGAGGCATTGAAGAAAAAATACAGACGTAAACTTCCTTCCCCTCTTGTCCTAACCATGGAAGGAGGGTGTAATATGAACTAGAAACTGACAAAAATAGGTATGTAGAATGTTGTTGGATGGATAGCTCATTTTTGAATTGAAATCGAGCAGATAAGCCTCGTTCGTTCCTACAGGAAGTTGCTGGACCATTCAGGAAATTAATTTCAAGAAAGCAGAGAAGTGACAGAATATTGTGAAATAGTTGACTTACTTAAGAAAATTTCAGGCTGCAAAGAAGTTACTGATGATGTTGAAGAATGGATGGGACAAGATGAAAATCGTGAACCTTTAGGATATGCAGAAATAGTTTCATTGATGAAAAACACTGCGGATAAAAATGAAGATGAATCAGAAAACGAAGAGATTGAAGACAACGGAAAAGCTAAAATGATGACCCATAGCGAGGGAATGTTCCGTTACATGGAGGAGGAATGTGCATCTGGTATAAAAATTTTGTTCAAATCCACCTACTGGATGAAGCTGCACGACGACTGAATGAATGGGAGAGACACGATATTAATCACAAGGATTGAAATTTTGATAAACGGAAATATTTCTTTCGGAACAAAAATAGATTATGCTAGCTTTTTTTTTTTTTTTTTTCTTATAAATCTTTCATTTCCATGCACCAAAATAAACTACCAATAAATAGATAATAGGATAGAAAAAAATAAATAAAAGATGAACGACTGTCGGTCTCTCGGACTGCTTCATCAAAATTGGGATGGCAATTCGCTGAAACGTTCTGTAGCTCTTCCGAATATGGTCTGAAAATTATCCCACCGTTCTAAATCAGTTATAAGGTAATCAAACTGGGAAAAAAAAAAAAAAAAAACTTGCTTTAATTTTAAACTTCTGCATGCTCGAAGATGCGTTATATACATAATTCATTTATTAAAACCCTTGGATAACCACAGGAGTTTAATGATGTCGTCCATAAACTTAACGAGATGCATTTTATATTCAGTTATGTCTTGCTATCTTTCTCACACTGCATAAATTTGTTCTGAATAATATACATTAATATTATTTTAAATAACCTAGAAATTGATTAAGACTATATGAATAGATAACTTTGGTTCGAATCAAGGTAAACAACTGTAAAAACTGTGTACATTTATTTTAAATTAGCTCGCTTAATAGAAATATATTTTTTCTTGGTGCGATTTCTCTCACTCTTTTTAAGGCCAGACAAATGTAGTTTTTAACTTTCGTGAAAGATTTCAATTTCTTCCACTCTTTTAATCTTGTTTAAAAATAGTATCAATTTAAGAGCTGAAAGCAATAATTTTTTGTGCATTTACTAAAAAACAGCAATGTAAATCGTAAGTACATACAGGGTGTACCAAATTTTTTATAATAAACGTTAAGGATAAACCATATCAAATCAAATCTTCATTTACGTAGGAACGTTTGGCTACAAACGCCCCTCCATGGGTTAAAAGTATCGCTTGCCATACATAGCAATTAGCAATGCGAATCGTTATTATTTCAGGATGGAGAATGTAGCTTAGATTATTTTAATACGGCAAAGCATATGAGGGCTGCATGCCTAAGAGAAGGGAAGTCTTGGCGGATCACTTTTGAATGAAATTGGCTCGTACTCACTTTCACATGGGAAAGACCGCGAAAACCAATTATGCATCCTTCGTTTCGAGCTTGGGTTGAATTACCAGCATTAAGCGATCTTAACTTCTCGATGACCGTTGAGGACGTTCAGGAGGAAGACATTTTCTGTTATGATAACACAATCATTCGAATCTTTCCCCGCTGATTTCTTTCTCGAAAACCTTCTGCTCAAGCCTGTAGCAGACCTTATCGCAAGAATCATTGAAAGAGTCTTCGGGTTTTCTTGAACACATTCTTCGATCATGCATCGACGTTATAAGGCACATATTGCCGTGAGTAGAATGAATTTGGAAAATATAAACGTATTATATTACTTTACTTGCATTTTTTATGTTGTATTTTCCTTGTGCCTTAGCACACTCAGGTTTGCTTGCGATTGCATGATCCTATGTTAAAATGGCTCATTTTTATATGTCTGATCCACTCTAAAATTTGTCTGTGAACTTTTGGACCATCCTTTGTAAACGAATCTGGAGTTAATGAATTAACCGAAAGTGGCGATAAATTTCTTAATCGAGGTCATTCTTTAAGTAGAGACACGCTAAACATACAAACAAATGCATATTTAGTAACAAAAGCTGAAATTAACATGAAGTTCTCAGTAAAGTAAATAAGTTATTTTAAATTGAAAAAAAAAAAAAAAAAAAAAAAAAAAAAAAAAAAAAAAAACGAAGGTAAAGTTTTAAGAATTTATTTTATAAAAG